CTCTCTCACTACCCACTAAAATTCAGTGGGTCTGGGTTGGGGCCTGGGAGTCTGCATTTCTTTCAGGCTCTGAGGTGATGCCCATGCTGCTGGTCCATGGACCACACTTTGAGGAACAGATGACTCTCAGATATAAGATGTCTCAAATGGGCTTTTGACAGAAGTTTGAAGACAGATAATTCAAGACTGGGGTCCCTATCGTGTACCTTAGATTCAGGCATCTTTGTTATTTTGGCTGAAAGTGTCTAGTATGGTAGGTAGCAAAGCTGATGTGTTTATGTAAGGGGTGGAGGAGTGAAAAATGAAAGGGTTGGTTTTATACTTGTGCCTATTCTAGTTATGCTGTTTTTGCAAGGAACCGAAATGACTAAAGCAAAGAGGAGGGGCAGGAGGATGGGGGTAGGTATTGTATGGAAACTTGGCAGGAAGACCTAAAGGGAGTGGCCCTAAACTGTTTGAAATTTAGGGATATGTAAGGACCAGCAGCCTTTCTCTGACTTTCTCTCTGAGTATCATTGTTTCTTTTTGCATATTTGCTCAGTTTCCTTTCACTCTCACTACTGGATGGTTTATTCTGTTCTTCTCCCTCAAAGCTCCTGCTTATTCCCGCTTAACTTCAGCTGGCACATGGGCCCCTTAGTACCCCAGCTCTACCTCCTGACCTGCCTACAGCATCAGCTGTGATTGCTGACAGCTTCGTTTTTTTTTTCCAATATGCATTTCAGATTGTTGAGAAGAGGAATTTGATTGGCATAGTATGCCTTGGGACACTGGCACATCCACGACTTGGCTGCCATTATCCATGGATTCAATCATGCTGATGGGGGAAGGGCAGGAAGTGTTTGATGCCTAGAAAAAGAAATGTAGCTAGCAAAGACTGTCACTTCGGAGGGGCTGTGGGCAGGACATTTGCCCCGGGAAGTGGTCTGTGGTGAGACAAGCATTCTGTGGCTTAGTCCATTTTATTCATTTCCTTAATGAAGGTCATCTCTCTTCGGCATGGAGGTGGTTCAAGCATAGCGTGACCTTCAGGCAAGGCCAAGAAACATAGCATGTGCTTTAGTGCTTTCTTGTCTCTTCATACTCAGAGAACAGCCCAGTAGGAATATTTCACAGGATCAGTGAAGGGAATCAGTTAAAGTAACAAAACTATATAAACCAAACTACCACAGACTTGCTTTGTATTTTTGAGATATCTTAATTTATTTTAATTAAATGTAAAAAAAAAAGATTTAAAGAACCTAATCTATCCAAAATATCAATACACGCATAGACCTTAGGTGTTACAAATACAGGAGAGGGAATTTGGGCTTGTTTTGGTAAAGGCCTAATGGGCAGGGAGCCCCTGTCTGCCATCCGCAGTCACTTTTGTTCACTGGAAATGCCACTCCCTCATTCCCAGGACCTGAGTATTTCAAAAGCACAGAGGCCATATCCTTGGAGGTAGTGGGTGTGCTCATGTGCATGTACCTGTGTGCTAAGAGCAAGGAACAGAGGGATGTGGGAAAGCAGACTAACAGGAGAACAAGGACAGGCCCCTACCCCAGAGTCTCATCTCCTTTCTTCTTTCAGTACTGTTTGTTCAGGGGGAAGAAAAGAGGCAGGCGTACTCTTCCTCAATGTTCCTCCCACACAGACTTTTAATGAGCACTGTTTTCAGTTTTTATTTGCTGATCAGTAAACACAAGGGTAGGTCTTGTCTGTTCCCAGAGATAAAGAACTGCATGCATAACTGGTCTCTATCCAGCTGAACAAGCGCTGGTTTCTCTTTGTTTTTTTCACAGTGTTTCTGAGAGATAAGAGGAAACCACCCAGACATGATGCATGACCAGGGGAGGTTTTGAAATAATATTTTATAAACTCATTCTCTATTCTGAACTGTGGATTAGGGATGGAAAGAAAGGGGAGGGCACCACATATAGCATAAGTTGATTTTTTTTTTTCTGGATTAAAAATGAGCAGGCAAACACAGAGAGATGAATAAATATTCAACTGAGGAAAGGATAATAAGCCAGTTTTTAAATATAGACACAAAAGTCAAATAGGAACCATTTTAGTGACTCGCATGAGTACATTCTTGAAAATTTTAACTGTTTCCTACTACAAAAACTGTCTCTGTCATATGGATTCAAAATCAATATTGGGCACACAGAACCTGAGTATAGCCAAAGAGCAAGATATATTCCCAGAAAAATATGGGATGGAACCAGGATAGAGTCCTATTAAGTGCATGCCCTTCAAGGCTCTTAGCAGGTTTCTTGGAGAGAGCTAGGATGCAGGGATTGATTTGAGACTAAGGATTCAAGATTTTTAAAGAGTAATACTAAATGTAAGATCAGTCGTTACCAATAAAGGCATAGAGGGTAAATGTACTTAAAAGCAAATGAAAATTTTAAGTGGGCGCAGAGTAGGAAACCATTTAGAGATACTTGCCATTAAACTAAGGAAAGACCTAGGGCTGACGTGACATGACAGTGGGAGTGCATAGGAAAAGAAGGTCTTCAGGAAAGTTGGGCAGAAAGGAGGAGTAAACTCAAGAGACAGAGAGGTAGCTAATAAAAGAGAAATTTAGGTTGAAAGCCATGACATATTTGTTTCTAAGCAAACAGAGGAGAAAGTAAACCAAAGAGAAAAGTAAAGTCTTAGTGAAGCTGAGTGGTGAAAGAGGTGAAACCGAGGAGAAAGTAAAGTCTTAGTGAAGCTAAGAGGTGCTTCATTGTGCATGTTACATACTCTATGTTACCGTTTCTTTCCATCTCTAGGCTCATGTCAAGCTGGGGCCATAGCATCGCTAATTATATGGCTGGGCTATTGCTAAAGCAATTCATAACTAAAGCCAAAATGTTTCATTGTTTTAGTTATACTAAGTTTCCACTTGTATTGTCAGGGTTAGGGCTCAGGCCCTCCAAACCCATTGTACAGACTGGGTCACTAGACCCCTTACATGCAGGTCCACACTAGGTAACTGGGAAAGATCCCGGGAACCGTTGGCAGACAACATGAGCTCAGTCCTCAGCAAGGGCAGCAGCAGCTTACAGGTCCAGCAGCTTACAGGTCCACGGCGCTGGTGGCGGCAGCCGTGGCCGCCTCTCAGAGGGTCCAGGGTCACTGGCAACAACAGCCTCCAGCAACAGTAGCATCCTCCATGTGGCCCATGGGAGCAGGGGACCCTGTGGATGAGAGCCACTCGTCCTTTATACTTATGTCCATAGCCCAGGACACCTGGGTGCACATGCACAATTACATTAGACACTAACCAAGGAACTCCTGGGCGCACGTGCATATTTACATCAAATGCTCAGCAAGATTCTGAACATCTGAGGGGTCCTGACCATTTTCCTATATTTTCCCAACAGCTCATGAACTTTAATACTCTATTAGAGACTTTTGTCCGTGTCTCATCTCCAGCACTGGATAGTAAGTTCCCAGTAGGTTTAATAAAAATGTGCCCCATGCTTTCTAGAATTTCCCCACAATACTTAATGGGGGCCTTACTGAAATGTTAATTGGTAAATTAATGTTAATTAATTTACTCAGTAAATGTTAATTGGTAAAATTAATTGATGAACAGGTTTTAGTTATTTTTCCAAATTAAATGCTAGATTTGAGGAAAATAAAACCTGGATTATATTTTATCCCAATGTTGGGTAAATTAGAGGAGCAAGTTATGACTTAAATCATTAGGACCTTATTTCAAAACGGATTGGTGGGTCTAACAGATATCAGGTAGAAAAATTAGACATGTGAGTCTTAGGAAAGAGGCCAAAATGCAACAGAGTTTTCCTTGATCCCAGATTCATTCAATCAGGCTGAACTTAGATGACTTTTTTCTTTTTTCTTTTTTTTTCTTTCTTTTTTTTTTTTTTTGCTAGTCTGACCAGTACTTTCCCTGTGCAGGTCTGCCTTTGGGGAAGGCTGCCTTCATGAGAACAGAGGTCTTGTTTGTCCTGTTCACTGTCATATCTGCAACCTCTAGAACATGCTTGCCTGTAATATAGTAGGGGCTTAAATAATTGTGGAAGGAAGGGAAAGAGGGAGAGGAGGGAATCAAGGAAAGAGGGATGGGAGGGAGGACTCTGCTTTTCTTAGAAGTTAACCTGGCACTTATTTACTCACTCATCAGTTACTGAGGGCCCCCTCAGGTTCTGTGTTAGGCACCAAGGATACCAAAATGAGCAGATGCCACAGTCTTTGCTCTCAATGGATAGTCTAGTGAGAGAGACCTAACACAGCAGGTGGTAGGTGCTACACCAGAGGATCTAATCTGCCCCAAGGAAGGGTGGGATGCAGAACACATCACAACTTGAGCAGAATCTTAATAAACTCAGTGATGCTTTAAAGCCTGGAGAACATTTTAATCTCTGTCGTCCTAGAACTGATTGGATAGATTGACTAAATGATGGAAGACTGCAAGTCATTGCATTTTAGCTGTTCTCTATTCAGAGTCCTCCTGATGTTAGAAGTTATTTTGTCTTAGCACTACAGGACTTCGGTTTTATTCAGGGAATGTAAATGGCTAGAGTGAGTATGTCATGTAGCAGCTTGTCATAGCTTCATGGCTTTATAAACACAGTCTAAATGGCACAAATTGAATGCACATTGTCTGGGTCAGACCTGCACTGTACACCAGGAATAATAGCTTTGTTACGCATGATCAGTTAGGACCACTATTTGTTCTTTTCTGAGCAAATTTTTGTTCCTCTGACAAGGATTAATGATAGAACAGCCAAAAGGCGGTCTTTGTATTTTATAACAGCCTAGAGCAGTAAAGGTGTATGTTCACTTTCAGAACAGCAAATTTTCTGAAGAGGGTAGATAAACTTGACAACAAAAGTAGAATCAGTGGTAAAAAGAAATAATAAATTATGGTTGGCTAAGCTTATTTACATATAGAAAACAATTCTGGGGATGTGCTGATGGACTTTTTAAGCAAGAAAATCCAGTGCCTGAGGGAAAAAATGACCCTGCTTTGACTTCTGTTTCTTGATTTCCTTACTCAGGTGCTGACCCCAGCACAGATCAAATCAATTTGCCAGGCAATTCTGGACTCTGGGAAGCAGTATGCCATGAAAAAGAGGAAACCATTCCCTCTGATGTATTCTTACTATGGAACTGAATACTTGGGTGAGTTCAAGTATGTTCGCAGAAGCCTGTAGGGTGGAGAGAGTCTCTAAGATTAACATTGAGTAAAGACTGGAAGAGTTTGTCTTTGCCACAGGTCATCACTATTCATTTAACAAAAAAAAAAATACTTCAAAATGTTGTTTAAAAACAAATATTGATAGATATTGCAAATCAGAATTTAATATTTGTTTTCATAGTCTACTTGACAGAAAGGTAGCTATTTTAACAATTGCTTTCACTAAAGATTAAAATCCTGATTTTATGTATGTATGTATGTATGTATGTATGTATGTATGTATGTATGTATGTATGGCAGGCCATGGGAATAAAATCTTTATTTTAGATTGTAAGCTTGTCAGCCTAATCTTTCTGAAAGATTGTGAACAATTTTCTTATTCATTGACTGCAGGTAGTGCCTCTGCACAGGGAAATAAGGTTCAGCCACTAATATTTTAAGGTTTTTAATAGTAGTAGATTAATAATAGTCTACTGAATTGCAGTGGAGAATTTTGAGCTCTGAGCCATGTAAAGAGTAAATTAGTTAACTTCCCTTTTGACTCCTTCAGTTGCTCCCAATCACTCCTGAGCAAGATTTGTAGGGCCCTTTGTAGACCCCCTGCCTCTTTCTGCAGACTCAAACTTTATCTCACCCCTTCCAGGTTCTGTCCAGCATAGTCTCCCACATGCAAAGTGCTCTCATATCTTATACCTTTGTACATGTTCCTTTTGTCTGAAATGCCCCCTTTCCCCCAACTCCTTCATCTACATGTTATAATTATGCCGAGACTTCAAGACTCTGCTCAAACATCATCAGATCTGCTGAGAAATTTTCTGTGCTTTTGGGAAAAGGATTGTTGGACCCTTTCTGGAGAAACATTAACAGGTTTTACCCTGAAGCAAAATTGGGAGATGTCATATCACCCTGCCCACACTTCTAATGAAGCTCTTATCACCTCACACTACGATTAGTGACGTACCTGTCCAACTGCCTTAACAGGCTTTGTGTACCTGCAGGATGGGGAACACGGACTTTATCTCATTTATCTTTGTGATCCTTAGACCTTTACCATAGAGCCGGCACACAATAAGGGTGCCCAGATGAATAAATGAATGACTAATGAGCAACTTCAATGAGAGTTTTCTCAAAGAAACTTTAAGTTCCTGTCTAAGTTTCCCTGGAATCAGACCCTGAAATAAAGATTCGTATGTATTTGAAAGGTGATCCCAGAATGTGTTAGTAGAGGAGTGAGGAAATGACACAGGGAAGAGAAAGAAGCTAACTGAGTGTATAATAATGAGCAACCGTGGACAACTGAGGCTCAGTCCCTCTGGGGACTCTTAAATAAGACTATATAGAACACGCTTCAAAATTGTCTCACCCAAGGGGTCAAGAAGCTGGGGTGTTCATCTGCCAACTCCCTGCTTTACTGGTCATCTGCTCCCACAGGTGTTAATTCCCTAGCAGTTCAACCCTACTCCTTTGGGCTGGGCACACCCCTGTGACCAGAGAAAGCCTCAGCCAAAATGCTTGAGGTAGAAAGCAGGAAGGGTGGGTGTACCTGAATGGCAAGTGTGGATGAGGTGATGAGCAGGGCACTGAAAGTGTTTGCTATAGTCCCCTCATAGAGCTATTCTTTTCATTTTTCATGGTTTTTTTTTTTTTTAAGAAATTACCATTCTGGCCATTTACATATATAGAATAAACCAGATTTCTATCTAATGCATAAACATTTTCCTGAAAAGCAAACTTTTTTTCCCCTAACAATTTCAAATCCAAGTGAAAGAAAGGTACTTTCAAATTTCATGACCAAATTTTAAGAGCAGTAGAATTTTTGACTGGATACAACTGTAAGGCTGTTTCTGGGGAGTCACGAGTTCTGCATATGGCATGTGAAAGGTGCCCGAATGCAAAGAGAAAGCTTTAAAATTATACAGCTGAGTTTAAAGAGCATGCTCTCAGAATATATTGACCGCAGTACCACCCACTATTCAGGATTCTACTAATTGGGAATGAATGAAAACTCCAGTAGGGACTGGGCTGACTTCTACTTTTGTTAAGCTAACTTCTTTCCGAGGGCAGACTCTGACCTTTGCTAGTTCAGTCCCCTCTGCTGGAACTCTTAGGAATTCTTCCAGACTTTGCTCAGATGACACTATCTGTGTGAAATCTTCAGGCCTCCACCTGAGACCAAGTTAAGCTCTCCTTCCTCATTCTCTTTTACTTCCTTGTATTAGTCAGAATTCTACAGACAAACACAAATATATACATATGTATATATTTTATTATAAAGAATTGGCTCATATGATTATGGAGGCTGAGAAAGCCAGACTCAGGAAAGCCAGTGGTGAAAGTTCTAGTCCAATTTCAAGTCTGAAGGCAGGAGAAGACCAATGTCCCAGCTTAAAGACAGTCAATCAGAGAGAAATAATTCTTTCTCACTCAGCCTTTTTGCTTCTATTCAGGCTTTCAACTCATTGGATGAGGCCAGCCCACATTGGAGAGAGCAGTCTGCTTTACTCAGTCTATGGATTAAAATGTTAACCTCATCCAGAAACACCCTCACAGACACACCCAGAAGGATTAAGCAAATACCTGGTCACCCTTTGTCCCAGTCAAGTTGACACATAGAATTAACCATCACATTCTTGATGCACATCTCTAATAAAAAACATATATCACCTCATGTTCTAACTATTTATTTACAAATCTGGTTCTCTCACTGGACTAGATGGGGATGTCTTCAAGGGTATGGACCAAATCATATTCATTTCTATATCCCCAGGGTTATACAATGACAAATACAAAAGTGATAAATGTTAAGGGTTAAGTAAATTAATACCAATTACTAGTGTTTAGCATTACAGAAGAAGATATTTAGTTTATTTTGTTCACTGATCTGTCCTCAAGACCTAGAACCTGGTAATAGTAGATGCTTAGTACTTATGTGTTGAATGAATGAATGATTATATAAATCTTTAGGATGCCAAGACCAAATTATTTTGAGGAATTTTAGGAGCATTTTCATAAAAGCTATTGACATGTTAATTACGAAGTTCTCTAAAAATTTCTTCTCTGAAGTGGAGATTGGCCAACAAACTTTTTCAGTAAAGGCCAAGACAGTAAATATTTTAGGCGTTGTAGGCCATATGGTCTCTGTCACAAATATACCTAAGCTATTGTAGCATGAATGCAGCCATAGAAAATATGTAAACTAATGATCATGGCAGTGTTCCAATAAAACTTTATTTACAAAAACAGGCAGTGGGCCCGATAGTGAAAAAAAAAAAAAAAAAAAAAGCCAGGTAGTTTGCCAGAAGCCTAGTTCTTAGGCAACTCAATTATTATATTACTCTATGTGCTTTCAACTCATATTGCCATTATGTATTTTATTCTGTGATTGTTTTTTCACTAAATCAAACTGGCTCTCCTCCCAGTTATATGAATTAATTATGCTTTATCTGTCGATATAGGGGCAGCTCATGGCCTATCATCCATTCTTCAGATGCTTCTTTCTTACCATGAGCACCTCAAGCCCTCAGATCGGGAGCTGGTGTGGCAGAGTGTGGACTTCCTCATGGAACAGGAACAGAACTGCAACTGGCCACCTGAGCTCGGCGAGACCATCGAGAGAGAGAATGAGTTGGTCCACTGGTGCCATGGTGCTCCAGGTCTCGCAAACACTGTTACCTGAAATCATTCTTTCATTTAGCTTAGCCCAAGGGAGGTTCCTTTTCTGAGAAGTGAGAGTATTTCTCATTTTACGTCATTACTATGTGAGATAAAAAGGTCAAGATGAAACTTTTTCAAAGCCAAAAAAGTCTTTGTCTTTAAAGGACTTTTGGAAATGATCCTGTATTTTAAAAAATAAATGATCTATATCTATTTGAATATAAAGTTAAACTAGTACTGTCCAATAGAGGTATAATATGAGCCACATATATAATTTAAATTTTTAGTAGACCCATTAAAAAGTAAAAAGAAATAGGTGAAATTAATTTTAATAATATATGTTATATAACCCAATATATCCAAAATATTATCATTTCAACATGCAACCAGTTTAAAAATTGAGATATTTCATGTTTTTAAAATATTAAGTCTTTGAAATCTAGTATATATTTTACATTTATATCACATGTCAATTTAGACTAGTCACATATCAGGTGCTAAGTGGCTACATTGGACAGTGCAGATCTGGAGCCTGGCAATTCAAAATGTGGCCCCTAGACTAGTAGTATGGGCAATTGAGAGCTTGTTAGAAATGCAAAATCTCAAGCCCCAATCTAGACCCACTGAATCAGAATCTGTATTTTAACAATATCCGTGGGCTATTTGTATGCGCCTTAAAGTTTGAGATATACTGTTCTATAATTCTTCTCAAATGGGATTTCCATTGGTACTTGATAAGAAGTCCAGAGAAATGAGAAGCCATCCCCAGTGAATTCTCTGAAATTGAGCCTAGGAACTCTCAAACCCCATCTCCCGCCACTTTTTGAAAAAAAACCTATTACACTGCTAATTGTCTACCTTCAGAGAAGGGACAATTTGAAAGAATTTAAGTCCAGATAAATCAATTAATTTTGGTTAATTAGCCAGGGAACAGATTTAAATAAAACAAAACAAAATTTTTGGACAGTGAATGGATTTAATTTTCAAGGCTATGCTTCAATCCCATGAGCAGAGCTTTTTTTTTTTTTTTTTGTTCTGACAGCTGTATAATTTTAATGAAATTATGAAGTAGAACAAAGCATTGTGATGTTGGAAAAAAAATGCTTCAAAATGAGTCTTTTTACTGAAAGACTTTATATAACAACACAGTTGCTACTGACTAACTTCTTCCTCTTATTTTTGTCCTTGCAAATAGGAGGATTTGTCATTTATTACCTCTTTTACATTAATTTCCAACTTCATTTATACTAATATAACTAACCAAGATTTGAAAGTATAATCAGAACTTATCGCTTCTTCTTTCATACCTCCCAACATTTACTTATAATAGTTTAACTGAAATTTTAGATTCTTTGACAAAAGTTAAATTTAATGCAACATTCTTCAGATATTTTTAGTTCCATCGATCTCTTTCACCAGTCTGATAAGAGCTTACAAAAAAGCTCACATAAAGGTTTTAAGTGAATACTTAACATTTGAAGAACTAACACAATGAAGTTTCAAATATCAATAAAATAATGTTTGCTTTTAGTAAGAAGTAAATAATATGATATTTTAAAACATTATTTTAAATTGAAGGAGTTTTTCTTATTCCAAGATACTTGTCCTCTCTTGTTACATACTGTAATCCTACAGATTGTGAATTAATATTGTGGAAAAAATCTAATGTAAAATAGAATTAATGTATGTAGTTGTAATTTAGTATAGATAGACAGATAGACAGTGCTACTTGATTGTGATTCTCCAGTTATTCTCCAAACTTCTTTATCATAGCCATGAGCAGAGCTTTAAAATATATTTGATTTCTCTTTACTTTGTTACCTGATTTCTGTTACCTCCTACCCCTACCCCCTACTTAATTAATGTTCTTTAACACAGCTGTAATTTATTTTTTTTCTTAGTACAGTTTGTGTTGATGAATAATATAAGTCACAGTCATATTGTGGTCATATTTTCTCTGTCTGCCCCATTTACCCGTGGAAGGAACTTCAAAGTGTTTGCTCATACCACTACCAGGGCATTGTGCATTAATTATGTCCAGGCTAACTCTTGCCAGTTATAATTTCAGCCCATTTTTTCTTGCCTTGGCCTTTTTGGAAAGAAACACCAATTATTTACAAGCCTGGAAATTATATTTCTTCTTGTTATGCTCAGTACTTCCATTTCCCATGCCCTTTATTCATTCTCAGTGATGGTCCCTGGATATCTTCCAAGCATCCCAGGATCCTTGAAATTTTGTAGATGTCTCAAATTAAATATGTAATATTTTTAAAGGACTCAATGTGCTAGTAAAAGCCCTGAAAAGAGTGTGAAGATAATCTACTAAAATGAGTGACTGGATCAGTTAATTGATGTTGGTGTCCTGAAGAGCAGTTATTCCATCCTTTCTGTACACCAAATACTGTCTTTGTAAATTATGTACCATAATAGTGCAGCATAGAATTTGTCAGTTTGGGGACTGTATTTATCATCCTTTATCATTCATGTTCAGTTGAGAAGATTAAACATAGGTTCCAAAGTAAAATCATTCAACCCATGTATTCACTGGACTACCAAAAATAAACCACTTCACAAATGAATAAAAAACTAAATGGGGCCCATTATTTCTGCTAACTCCCACCCCCACCTCAAGGATATTGATCTTTTAAGAGATGCTCTAAAAAAGTATCAGGAGTGATTATAAGTCTGATAAGGGCAGGTCAAAGACCACCAAGATTTCATGGAACTTGGCAGAAGTAAACTCTCCAAAAATTCTAAAACAGGAAATGACCTAGAAAAATCATTTTCATTTGTTTGAGAAAAATGTTTTTTGAGAGTAGATTTATAAACAGCACAGATGGTTTGGGGCAGCAGACCAATTCTGTGATTAAAAACCTGCCAGAGATAATCCACAATGTTGAACTTCATTAATGATACCTTATCTCTCCCTATAATTGTTTCCTATTGGCTTTCCTTCAACCCACCTCTACAGGTGACAGCCCTAGTTGTCATTTATGCAATGAAGAAATAGTTTTTGACTCCAAGTTAATAACTCTGGGTTCTAATTGTTGCTGTAACACTAAGTGACCTTGAGAAAAGGTCACTTTTTTCTTTTGTCCTGTTCTGTTGTCATTTCACTTGTAAAATGAGCAGGTTGAGATGGGTTAGTAGAGCTCAATCTTGTTGCCACAGACACATTTTATACTGTGGACCCTTGCCATTCCTGAGATATATGTCCTGAAAACTTTGCAAACACCCACATTTATAAATATCTAATGTGGCATATAGCTTTTTCTCACTAAATGCAATAAAGAGTAACAGGAAGATTCATATGACCCCTTTGTAGCCTTGATGACTCTGAAATACAGGACTAAAGTCATTTGCAAAATCATTAAAATAAATGCGGGAGCTAAAATAAACTCAACTGCATTAGGTTACGTCATTACTCTGGTAACACTGACAGTGCATTTCCCGTACTCTGCGTGAAACACAAGCGTAGGCATTTTAAAAAAAAAAATCTAATTTCACAAAGACTCTTGAATAGGTGACTTTGAATAAAGAACAATGCTTTTGCAGCACAGGTATCGTTGTTCACTCAGCTTTGCAGTGTACACCATAAAATGTATGCTTCAGCAAAATTTACACATTCTAGAATGAACCTGGGTGGTAATTGTCCAGTATGTATGTTGAAATGAAGTCTCTGCCAAATCCTGTGTTTTCAAAGATTTAATCTCTCACACCATATTTATTAATAATTCATTCCTTTTCCCAGTTGTGTTTGGCAAAGACATACATCGTTGCTGACTTGTTTCTTATCAGTGCACAATAATCAGTGTTCCCATGATGAAATTATATGGGTCCTATCAAAAGCAAAGAAAGCCAACATTCATTTTTTTCTTAAATTAAGCAGACATATTGTGGATTCCATTAGGTCTGGTTAGGAGCCAACCGATGTAGAAGTTTTTCAAGGTCCCTTCCATGTACCATTCCGTGATCCAGACTACAGGAAGAGGTCCTTTCATTTTGGCTGGAACCACTGAATCAATACTTATTAAGCTATCTGGGGCTAATGGCCTGCTATAGCAATTAAACCTTCTCAGCCTGTCTTCCTTCCACATCTCTTATCTCCCCCACAGTGTCGGCCTGTGCTGGGGTGAGAAATGAGGCATTATAGGGTCAACGGACATTTTTGGAGCCCTTGCCATGTGCCAAACACCATGCCACAGACTACAGGAACAAAAGTGAACAAGATACAGTTCCTGCTGTTGGGTTGTTTGCACTATCCTAGGGGAGGCAAACATGGAAATAGATCATTTTAACCTGATTCTGGATAAGTGCTGAGGTTTGTATAGGGAGTGATGGNCCATGTACCAGTCCATGATCCAGACTACAGGAAGAGGTCCTTTCATTTTGGCTGGAACCACTGAATCAATACTTATTAAGCTATCTGGGGCTAATGGCCTGCTATAGCAATTAAACCTTCTCAGCCTGTCTTCCTTCCACATCTCTTATCTCCCCCACAGTGTCGGCCTGTGCTGGGGTGAGAAATGAGGCATTATAGGGTCAACGGACATTTTTGGAGCCCTTGCCATGTGCCAAACACCATGCCACAGACTACAGGAACAAAAGTGAACAAGATACAGTTCCTGCTGTTGGGTTGTTTGCACTATCCTAGGGGAGGCAAACATGGAAATAGGTCATTTTAACCTGATTCTGGATAAGTGCTGAGGTTTGTATAGGGAGTGATGGGAGCTCAGGGGAGGGATTCCCTGTGCTGCCTCCAGGTTCAGGGAAGGCTTCCTGGAGTAGGCAATGCCTAAGGTAAGTTAGGCCAAGGAAGGTGGGAAGCTTGTTCCAAGAAGAGTGAACCACATGGTCAGTCAGAGGCATGGAAGCCCTGGAGATGGTTTGGTTTTACTGAAGTGAAAAGCTTCAAGCAGGAAATGGTGGAGAGGAGGTGGGAGAACAGTAGGAGCTGGGTCACAGAGGGCTTTCTGTGTCATGCTGAGGCATCTGGGTA